CAATGCACGTCCATATGTGGCTGGTTTGACGCAACACAAGATTCTGGAGTTGGGTTGGGAAGTTCTACCCCACCCACCATATTCTCCAGATATGGCACCATCAGATTACCATCTTTTTCGTTCGTTGCAACGCCATCTTAATGGGAAAACGTATGCAAATATGGAAGGTGTTAAAGAGGACATCTACATGTTTTTTTTGCTTAAAAGTCAAGTGTTTTCTTTAATCAGGGCATTAACAACCTGATTGTAAAATGGAAAAGGATCATCGATAAGAATGGAGACTATTTCAGTTAATAAATGTTTTGTTTTGATATATAAGTTGTTTGGGGTTTTTCACCTAAAAAAAACGATATTAATTTTTGACGATCTAATAATGGTTCTCACGGTTAAAAGCATAAAATTATGGGCTACGAAATAAAGCACGAAAGCTATAATCGTTGTTACAAATTCAATATTGTTGTAAACTATGTATTTTCAATGTCTTAATTTAGATGTTTGTTAGATGTTAGAGGAAGCAAATATGAAATATGGATTCGTTTGCACATGACAAAGTAATGTGGTATGTGGGAGTAAGTGGGTGATTCAGTTCAAAGTAAAACAAATTATTCAGAGAGTTATTTCATCTCTTTAGTTAATCAATTGATTAGTAAGGAAATTATGCATTTGTAAGTTAGGCATGATTACCATTAGTCACTCACTTTCTGTGATAGAAATGAATAAAACCCTATAACCTGAGCACTTTGAAAAGATGGACCTTTCTTCTTTAGGGGCAAACTCTCTGTGATAACATTATTAATGAATTTAAGCCTACAAAGTACAAGTGAGCATAGCCTGTAGAAACGTCATAGAGGAAATAAACTAATTCATTATCGTTACATGGAATGGATTTGTCATTATCTTTACCAAGTAATCCAAAAAACCTACCTAAAGAAAGAACATAATACTGTCAGAAGTGGGATTATTTTGGTGAAATAACACAGATCATTGAGCAAACTTCAATTTTTAAGATGACTTCATAAAGCGAGATCAGAAATTTATTGAGGATGGTGAAACAGGTACAAAAGTCAAGAAAAAAGTGACAGAAAATTAATAGATAAAGATGAAGAAACAGTGAGAAAAAAATTTATAGAATGATATGGAAAATTGAAAAAATCATGAAGAAAGAAATGAAAAGTCATAAGAAGAACAATAATAAAGAGACAGAAAATTAAAAGAAAAACAATAAAAAAGAGACAAAAATTGAAGAAAGTGTAAGGATAAATTTACAATAAGATAAAAGAAGACCAAGGAGAAAGAGGCAGAATATTAGAAGAATGAAATAAAAAAGTGAAAGAAGATTAAGTGGTATGAGACAGGAATTTAAGAGAGTAGTTAAAAGAAGGAGACTTAAGTTTTCAAAAAGAATTAAGAACAGAAATAAATATGATTGAAGATAAGATCCATGAAGTTATTGAGGACATACAGAGGGATTACAACAAGTTTGAAGAAGTGCAAAAAAGACATCAACGAAGTATAGAAAGTATAGATGATAAAACTGAATATATATATATACGGAAAAGCTTTGATGACAAAATTGAATAAATGCAAAAAGAGATCACTGAAGTAAGAAAGAACATCCGAGACAGAATAAAGCATCTGATAATCTAATTGATAAATTTAAAGCCACACCTCTATCTACATCTGCCCAAGAATTTCAAACTAAAGCACCTATTGTATTCCTGTCATGTCATTTGTTACTGAAAAACCTTCCTGGACTAGTCTACCCATTTCAGTTAACATTTCAGAATTTAACTGGTCAGTTCACCAACATTGGCTAATTGAGAAAACAAGTGGACTATGATAGGAAGACACCAATGAATGCATATCAAGGTCAGTTCAAACTAATTTCCAAAGTGAATGGGAGGAATAGTGAATAATAAGCTATTTATCTTGCTGCCAATGTAAGGATGCGGTAGTCATGGGGTTACAAGGACGGGCTTTAATAACATTAAATAACAATCCAGCTGAGAGCTGTAACAGTTATCAAGCATTGGTATTTGCCTTATCCAACAGGTTAGGGGACACACCTGAAAATGATATCCAGTCCAAAGTTCCATAACAGAGTACAGAGATAAAAACAGGCCTCAGCCGAACTTGTAAAAGATTTGGAAAGGCTAGTCCAGTTATCTTACATAGATGCTCCATGAGAAATGTTATTCATTTACACATGAGCAATTTATAGATGCCAAAACAGATGAGAATATGAATGTTGGATATACAA